CTTCCCTCCTTCCCTCCTTCCTTCCCTCCCTTTTCCTCAGGTTGGAATTTAGTTCCAGGTTGGAGACCCCGCTTCTGCCTTCTTTTCCTTTGTTTGGAAAAGAATTACATGTAAAACTCCCAGGTAAGACTTTGTTTTAGCATTCTTCACACATCCAAATTCTGTGAAACACAGAGTAATTTCTATCACAGGGCACGAATTTCTGATAGGATCAAACTAGGAAAGATGTGCCTAAACCCAAAGATTTTTGTTGCATTTTTAAGTCTACAAATGATGACTAAGAAAAATAAAGCAGTAAACTTAGAATCACTCCATGTGAAATCCATTCCTCCAGTGGAAAATATTTGTTTGTTTTGTGGTTTGGATTTATTTTTTTTTTTTTTTAAGAAAGAAAAACCCACCCACATTTGGAGGTCCTCTTTAGGAACCCTTTTGGTTTTAGTTCTTTTTAGACCAAACAGTTGCTTCCCTGTTCCTATTTTGCCTTCAATAACAAGAGTTTTCTTACAGCATATCAGTACTGGCACGTCTTTGATTAGATTTTCTGTGTGTGAGTGTGTGAGGCTGCTGTAAAGAGTGGATTAATGTAAAGTTTTTATGTAGGAAAAAATAGGAAATTGAGTCTGAATTTATTTCTAAATATAATTAAATCATAGGATTTCCCTTAATTTGGATATTTGCTTGTAGAATCATTTGATGACATTTAAGCAATATCCTCTGATATAGCACTTTAAAATTATTTAATATATTTAAAATAAATGTGCAGTATTCCCATACCTTTTCAATGTGCTGCCACACCATCGCTGTGTTTGAAAACTACTCTTGTCACCAAGTCTGCCTGCCACAGAATCCACCTCAGCCATGGTTATTTGTTTCCTTAGAAGCTTGTTTTTTACTATTTCAAAGGAATAATGAAAAAGAAAATACAGTAATACATTTACTAATCCACAGGCTCAAAAATACTGTCTGAACTTGGATTCAAAGCTTTTTCAACTATAATTGAATAAGACTAAAACAGAGTAAGACTGAAAGTAGAAGAAAACAAGAAACTTTATGAGTTAAACATTTGCTACTGATGTTATTCAGGTGCTAAATCCAGGCACTTTTCTTGCTTATTCATTAATCATGATTAATTATAAAAAAAGTAAAATAGGGAGTATGAGTGTCCAGATGTTTATGAGCTCTCCAAGGGATTTTTAAATTTAATCTTATCCAAGTGCTGAATCAAGTCTAGATGCAAATCATCTGGTTCTGTTCTGGTGCCCCCACTGCTCATAAAATTGTGGTGGATCACCTGGCTGGGACTTTGTCCGTGGGAACAGGAGACCACTGGAGACAGTTTGTTGCTTGATCCTTTCAGGGAAGCAGAGATAATTCATTATTGTCACCTGAGCTGTGATTAATTACTGCTGACTTTCAGGGATGCTAAATGCTTGCCCTAGCTAATGGATCAGAATATAACAATGAAAAGATTTTAGCAGTCACTGTAGGAATGCTTCTACAAATCCCTGGAGGGAAAATCTGTGTGTCTCTATAACAAATTCAGCTCAAGGCATTTCTGAGCTTCCCATCCTCCTGGATCCACAGAGGGACACACATGAGGGCTGTGCTCACTTTGGTGCTGGGCTCCTGCCTCAAAACTGCCCCGTGTGTGCTGACCCTATTAATGCTCAGAATGCACAAATTACAAACCCGTGCTCAGCACTGGAGTGGCACTACAAGTTTCCATCCTAAATTAAGATTGAAGGAATTTCCTGTCTGTTCCCTGTTCCAGCCATTTAGGTGGCCACTGATCACCTCAGGAGGGGCTCAGAAAGCTCAGTAGGGCACTCATCAATGGAAGGAAATGCTACCAAGGGATCAAGAGGAGTCAAACACAAAATGACAGAAGTGCAGTCAGATCATTCATCCCAGAATCCTCGAATTTGGAGGGCCCTGTGTTGGTTTATCTTGATTAAAAGCAGGATGTCTTCATAATGCACCAAGTCCTGGTGTATTTGAAGGCCTGTGTGAATTAATGTGGGTTTGGTTCTGCTTGCAGTAAAATGTTAGGAATTCAACAACACTCTGTTCATTTATGGAGGCTGATTTTAACCTCGAGCCTTCAGACCTTTCATGGTTCAGTGTTGTTTAATGCTTGGACTCAATGATCTGTTTTCAGCCTTAATTACTCACTGGCAGCCTGGTAACCAGAGGAGTAAAAGAATCTTTACATTCTGTTTTTCTTTTCTTCCAGACAGAGTGGAAAGTCCACCCACTATTATTTTCTCCTAACACAATTTTTATTTTAAATATCTGAAATTTTCCATTCTTACTGTTTCATTTGTGTCACTCAGCATGGATGGACTTGAGCTCCTGCAAGGGAGATTCCAGGAAGAAGTTATCAGTGCACTTTTAATTAGGCAGACTGCTAATTGGAAGCAGTCATGGATAGAAGTTGCACCCTGACAATGGATTACATCAGTTAGAATGAAAGGGAAGCTATTTGTTTTCAATCACCACATCTTAAAATTATTTTTAACAATCAGTAATCTTCTACTTATGTCATGTACTGCATGTGTGCATCATCCAACATTTATTAATAAAATTAACATTTCAAACAATGGAGAAAGGCTCTGTGAGAATTTGGTAGAAGGAAATTTTAAAAATAGGAATACTTTAAAACCAAGAATGCAATGAGGGCTCAACCCACCAGTCTGAAGGCATCCAGCACCTGGTGACTTCAGTGAAGGTTTCCAGAGAGGCAGGAAAGTTGAACCAGGCTTCTAAAGATGTGGAAGAAAGCAGGAGTGTTTTATCCATGAACCATTTCACAGAATCACAGATGGTTTGGGTTGGAAAGGACCTTAAAGATTATCCAACTCCAGCCTCACTGAGTTGTTGTTCCACTACTCATTGGTTGGTTTTCTGCAAAGGTTTCTACATGTAGGGGTTATAAAAGTGCATCTCAGAATTTTCCATCCTTGCAAAAAAAGCTGCTATCAACACTTAGAGCCATAAAAATGTGCAAGTGTTTCAGTTGGATTTGAACTGGGAATAATGTAAAATCATAAGTGCCTGAACTATGGATCACAAATTAGAAAGATCATGTGTAGCAGAAACTTTCAGACTCTCATTGTCACTTACAAAGTGACACATATTTTGCAGAAAGAACAGAAAATCTGTAAATATTCTGTGAAACTCATTGTTTTATTTCTTTTATTTAGGGAAAACAGAGGGATAGAAAGATTATATCATGTTCTTTTGTTGTAACACTGCAAGTTGCTCCTTCTATTACAATTTTTTCTTAATTGTTACTGAAGACCAGCTTCCAGTGCTGCTGATGAGCTTCATTAAAAATGTCTTTTAGAAAAGGTTTTTATTAGGTATTCTGTTCTGCTCCTGCAAGTTATAAATACATCTATATTCCTAGTTCTGCCAGGCAATTATTATATATATTTTGTTCACGTGCCTTTGAGGTCTAATGAAAGATTTCTGGCAACTTTGCTGAGCTTTTTCAAGTTTTACAAGGATAGGAGATGTGGATGCTAACAGACGGTATTTCTTTTTTTTCAGCTATTGATACTCTCCATTGAATTACTATAATTTCTTCAGTGCAAATGATGGGTTTGTTCCTCTGAAGAAAAATTGTTGGAATGCTTGAATAGTGGAGTGAAGAACTAGATTTTATCTATATATATATAGATAGAAAGCAAAGGTAAAACAACCTGAACATTGCCAGTCTAATATTCACAATTCAAAGTTACTGTCATTATTCAGAAGTCAAGGGTGTAAAACTCCATTCCAACTGAAGTAATCTTGTCATTTCATTCTTGATTTAGGAAATCCAGTGTCCAGAAGTGTCACTCTTTTGTGACAATACATAAAGTCCCTGCTTGCAGAAGACAAGTGCTAAATGAGACTTGAAATACTTTGACAGCATATTACCAGGATTTTTCTGTCATTCAACAGAGGGGAAATAACATCAAAGACAATTTCATCCTTTTGGCCAAAAAGAAATTACAAAACACATTATTCATCCTGCAATTTATCAGCCTACAAAATAAACACATACAGCAGGACCATGTGAGTTTTTTACACAGTCAGGTTTGCATTTATTTAGTGACTGTTTCCTTCAATTAGGAGTTCGTTGTTCTGGGCACTGCAGAAGGATGCAGCAGAAAGGTGTTCTATTCTCTTAAGAATCACATGACATTAACCATACTCCAGGTGTTTTCACTCCCTCTCTCCTCTTTGCTCCCTGATTTTTTGCAGCTTCTGCCTGTTCCTTGGAGATTATTTCTGTTCCTGGTAAAAGATGAGGGAAGAATTTGTGTTTATGAAATCACAGAGTTTATTTCTGTCCAGTTGGCCTAAATAATATTCACTACATTTAGAGTGGTCAATGCCCCTTTTTCATCCCAGATTTCATTTTGTTCTGGTTATGTGCATATAAAAAAAAAATAATTCTTCTTCCTCTAGCAAATGTAGCTGAGGAGTCCTAAACATAATTTCAGCCATTTCCCCAAATTTCACACTTTCTGCAATCATTTCTTTCAAGTTGTGGTTCCCAGACCTGTGACCATTATTGCTGCCATTGGCTGTATCTCCTCCAGAGATTCCAGAGTTGTTCAGCTGTGGATTTGTGCTGCTGAGTGGAGAAGAGCTGCTTCATGGGCACTCAGAATTCATCTTTATGTTTCCAGTATGGTGTCTGTGTGTCTGCCTTTCCATGACCTCAGCATTATTGTCTCCTGTTCGGATTGGGAATGATTCATTTCAGCTTGGACTGACAATAAACCCATAGAGCCATTAAGAAAAAATAAGGAAAAGAGGCCCAAGGAAACCTGTATCAATCTGTTCCATGTTCTAATTTTTACTTTTATCCAATTTTTGAGCTAGGGAACATTGTAATGGATTCACAGAAATACTCCCATTACCCAAAAATCCCTGCCTTAAAAAAGGCTTCAGTTAGCTGCTCCCAATCTGCACTCATTATGTCCATTTATTTCTGAGTATCTTTAAACACAAATCAAGGATTATTTTCTGTTTTTCTCATGTTCATTGTCTTTTTTCACTGACTGGTGTCACTTGGATGCGCTCATGCTCCACTATTGGCTCCCATTTATTTTTGCAAAAGGAATGAACAGGAGCACTTGGAATCCAACTGTGTTGGGGTAATTTTGTGATACTCTTAATATTGTGCCTAGGCCAAGAAACACCTTCAAGGCAGCTGGCTACTTTAATCTTCCAAAGAAGCATTTGGGGACTGCTGAATTTCTGTGGAGAAGAGAGGAAATGTCTCCATTTTTATCCACCTAATTGGTTGATGGGCAACAGGAGTGACTGGCACTGAGATCTGGTGTCTTTTCATTCCCACAGAACCATTAAAATTGGAAAAAACCTCCAAGATTCCCAAGTCCAAGCTTACTAAAAGCTTCCAATAATGAAGAAAGCTTCTTAGAACTTTGGATGCCTTGTTGTAATCTCTAATAGCAAAGGTTATACTTGCATTGATATGAATTTCCCACCACTCCTGGATTATGTGAGAGTTTCTGTAGCTTTGAAAAGTAACTGTATTCCCCCAGAAGATATTGTTTCCATTTCTTCAAAGACATTGTTTGCATTCCAAAAGGAAAAGAATCCAGCTGTTTCACTACCAACCTTCACAGCTTATTGCCACACGTGTGTAAATTCTGAGTCTGGAATCTTTCTCTCCAGTGTTGCTGTTAGAAGGGTGAATACCTCAGCAGTGTCATTATGCACTGATTTTCTAATAGCCCTCTGCTAAACATTGGCAACGTAAAACTAGAAAATTACCATTAATCATTCTTAAAGTGCTAAGAATACATTAATAAATTACATCTGTTTGATTTTTCAAAGCTGTATTTACTCCTAGGATATCGAGCAGGCAAAGAAGCGTTGAACTGGGCAACAAGATCCAGTTCTATTTAATCCTAGGTTGCTCACATGATTACTATAGGTTAGATGGCAATTTCTAATTTTAACAGCCTGCTTCCACCCCTGTCAGTGTCCTTTGGCTCTTACAAGTTATGCTTTAGATCTGTGCTTAGATGATGTTTTTAAATTCTGAAATGAAAAGACAGAAAATAGAGTAAGACCCACCTGAACTGCATTTTGCAGATATCTTGGGCTTGACATTGTCTATAATTTCAGTGTTTTGGCTTTACATGAGAAATTAGATTTAATATTCTTTGTTCTATTTTTCATTCTGATTCAGGCCTAAATAGAGATGAAGATCAGGAATTCATGTCTTCCCTGCTTCTGCTTTTTTACCCAGATGAAGGAATGGTGAAGTCCCAAATTCTGGTTCATCCCAATCAGATTTTACTCCAGTTCTGCTGTCAGATGCTCTCTTCTGCAGCCCTCTTGCCAGGCCTTACATATTCCAGTGGTGGAAAAGGACTGGGAAGAGCTTTACTCCGCTTTTATTCTTGCTGATAAGAGCTACACAGTGCTCCTGAATTCCTCCCACACCAGAGCAGCAGCAGGGTATGAATGACAATGTTTCTGACCCAGACAGGGTTTTTTACCACAGTCTGGGTTAGCTGTGCAGAATTATAGAGCCCTCCTGAGAAAATGTTCATGCCAAAGTGTTTGACAAGGCACTGTGGACGAAACTATTTCCAGACATTCAAAGACATGATAAAATGTGCATTGATTTAACTGGCAATTGTCTGGAATAGAAATGTCACAGTACAATAGTCCCAATTTAATGTACTTTTACATGTGCAGTACAGAGAGAACACTCCAGCCTGTGATAGATAGAACAATCTCATGCCATACCCAGGAGTGCCTGACTCATTGGTCTGAGCAGCTCCTTTGCATCAATCCCTGCGCTTGTTTAATGTGAATAGTGCAGCTGAGAGGGGGCTCTGTTAGCTGGAATCCCACTGCTTTTCCTTTAATTCCTCGTCCTTGCCAGGGCAAAAATATCTGACCTGAGAGAGAAGGAAATGTGCAGTTCAAGTGCTCAGGGTGGGCACAGAGCTGGGCTTGTGCCCTGGTCCCCACGCTGACACAGGCTGGGAGTGGAAATGCTTGATCTGAGCAGCTGCTTTGGATGTTTTTATGGCTCCCAAACTGTCATTCACAATGGATATGGATCCTGTCACACCCTCTTCTTCTGGAAAACCAGGAATGGGGCCAGCCCCTTCCTGTTTTACAAACATCCACCAGCTTCCAGTGATGATGCCTGGATGCCCTGGAGATCCAAGGGTGTGGTGATTCGAGGAGAAGGTTTAGAATGCATTTCTGAAGCATTTCCTGCTGTGTGACCACCCAGAGACAGCAAAAGCTGGAATTGCAACTACCTCATCTCTCATTTCCATTATCCAACGAATACATAAAAGAATAGCTTGTGTGCATTTTGGATAATTTAATAATAATTAATAATTATTTTAAATGAGATAGGAGCAAACCAGGATATGTCTTTCACCACTCCCAATTTCTTGCTTTCTTTGTTCCTGCTCTGGCTTTCCTCATTTGCTGCCAGATCCTATTGGAAGAGGAGGCACATTTCTCCTCCTTACAGTAAATGTCACAAGGATGCTATGTGGAAGAGCAAATAGGTCAGATCCCTGATAGTTTGACTGCTAATCAATACAGTAAGAGTTTGGAGGAATTTAATGAGTATTCTGTATTATTTTGTATGCACATGTTCAGTATAACTTTCAAAATCCTTCTTTCTTCCACTTGAAAGCTGTTAAAGTACAGGTCACCAGTGCTTTAATTACGATTTTATCACAATTTGAAAAGCGATTCCGATGAATGATTTCATCATTGGTGTCATCATTAAACATAAGGAGTTTGATGTGGATAAATTGTATTGAAGGGTTTGGTATTTGAAAGAAGACCAGAGCTGGCTGGACACATAACCCATAATTAGAGATAAGGCCCAATACAATTTATGAGAAGGGGCAAAGCTTTAATGTCTCATGGAAATTAATTTATTGAAAAATGCTCCTGGCCAGAGTAGGTGAGATAGGATTATCTTGCATGTCCTGGAGTCTTTTTCCTACATAATTTCCATTTATAACAGAGACAGAAATCTTAAGAAAATAAAAACCAGTATTCAATATCAGATTTCAAATTTATCAAAGCCAAAACATCAAGCTAGTTGTGGAGTTTAACTTGATGACTGAATTTACAAATTTGTTTTAAACCAGAAAAAACTTGGTGTTTCAGGCTTTCTGGTGGTTGATTTTCCACATCTGTAATTTCATGTTTCCATTCAGATTGAATAAATTTTTTTGTGTGTATCCTGATCCCTCCTTATCTCTTATCAGCTGGAAAAGGAGATCTCTGCTTGAAACTGAAACCCATTATTTTAATACTTTCTGAATTCTTTCTGAATACTTTTCTGAATTCCCTCTTTCTTTCCTCTTCCTTGTGCATAGCTATGTGGTCTAACATTTGTCTAATAGCTGCACTGTGCTGTAAAATGGAGGATTCCAAGGACTCATGGATAATTCAGGCTGGAAAGGGCCCCAGGAGGTCCTGTCCAAGCTTGTGCTCACAGCACTGGGGTCAGACCAGGCTGCTCAGGGAAAGCTGTGAGGATGGAGATGACACCACATCCCTGGGCAGCCCCTTCCACTGGGATACTGTCTTCATGGGGAAAAAGTACATCCTTTGTCACTGCCACACACCCCAGCCATGCTCACAGCAAATAGGGGATAAAGCCATTATCATAATTATTAATGACTTTCACCTTAGTGAATGGCAAGCAACAGTAGGAAAGCTGCCAGCAATGGAAATCTGAAATATCTGAGAAATTACTGAGTGAGATCAAGGTAAGCCCAAGGGAAAACTTAATACAGGTGAGAGCTAATGGTGTTTCTGGAAAGTGAATTGAATAACATTCTTCAAATCCTAGACCAGTGAACTGCTGTTAAGGGAAGAAAAAAATCTGTGCTGTTATAATCAGTGTTAGGTGAAAATGAGAAACATAAATACAGAATAAACAGCAGGTGTGAAAAGTGAAGTCATGCAAGATGAAGACAGGGAGAGAAGAAAAGAGGAAAATCTCATCAGTAGCTCATTTGGTTTTAAGTAATTACGATGTGGTTGGAACAGGCTTGGAGCAATTTGGTCTATTGGAAGGTGTCTGTGTCCATGGCAGGGGATGGAACAAGATGGGCTCTAAGGTCTCTTCCAATCCAAACCATTCTGGGATTCGATGATTCTGGGAAATAAAAGAAAAATAATTGATCTCCCATTCAAGAAAAGCTATTTTTAAGTGCATCTCTGGTTTTGTTTTGAAAATATGCATCAAGTTAGAATTGCCTGGAATGGTTCTCACAGGTCCTGCTGCTCTGATGGCTTATCAAAGATTACAGGGAGAGAAAATACTTTTTATTCAACTTCAAGGGATACCTATGCTGGTCCTGCTGTTATCTAATGCAACATTTCATGGACTCCTGTATCAGATTTT